AATTATGAAAAAATTGATAGGTCAAAGTTACGATGGCGCAGCTGTTATGTCAGGTGATTGACATAAACTGCAAGCAAAAATTAGAGACGTCGATCCTTCTGCACTTTATATTCATTGTTTTGCCCACAAGTTAAATCTTATATTATCAAAATCTTGCAGCAAAATAAAAGAATATAAGGTTTTTTTTGCAACTTTATCTGGTTTAGCCAGTTTTTTTAGTACATCATCTAAGCGTACAGCAGAATATGATAAATATGTTTAAAAAAAATTACCACGAGTAGCCCCAACAAGATGGGAATACAATGGTCGGCTGGTTCAAACAGTTTTCAATTATTTGAAGGATCTAGTCGTTATTTTTGAAAGTATGATTGATGAAGAATCTGATATTGTTTGGGATAATGATGTTCTAATAACATCTCGTGGCTATTTAAATATATTAAATGATGCAAATTATCTAATTTTGTTATATTTTTTTCAAGAAGTTTTTCCAGAATCTGATTTATTATTTGATATACTTCAAACTAAAATTAACGATGTACCATATTGTCTTAAAAGTATTAACAATTTCAGAAATTCAGTTAAATCTAACATAGAAAACTTTGATGTTTTTTGGAGAAATTTAAATGTAAAGGAAAATATTGAAGACAATTTAGATAAAAAAACGTAATAGATCCGGATTGCCTAATACAAGAGAATTTTATAAAAATTTGATAATTAAAATAATAGATACTATAATCAATGAAATTGATTTTCGGTTTGATACATTAAAAAATATCAAATTCGTCGAATTGTTAGATATTAGTAAATTTCAAATATTTAATCATAATTTCCCAAAATATTTATTAGACAATTTAAATGACACTTAATTTTTCGACTTACACAAGCTGGAAACCGAATTAAAGGTAGTGTTTCTTGACGATGAATTTAAAAAGAGAAAAAATGTTTATGAAATACTTGAATTTTTAATTAATACCGATTTGATGAAAAGTTTTAAAGAGTTTTTTAAATTATGCAAATTCATTTTAACTTTGGCTGCAACAACAGCAAGTGCAGAACGGGGGTTTTCATCTTTAAAAATAATCAAATCTTATTGTAGAAACAGAATGAGTCAAAATCGATTATCGAATCTAGCTTTGATTTCTATTGAAAAAAAATTATTGAAAAATTTAAAATCTAGTAATAACTTTTATAATTCAGTACTTGATCATTTTACTCAAAAACAAAGACGAATTCCGCTTATTTATAAATCTTAATTTTTTATGGTTTGACTAATAAATAAAATAAAAAAATTTTTTGATTGCTTCCCTACTAGTAAACTTGACGCCTCGTCACTGCAAAATGAATATATAATAAGATAAGATCTTTTTATAAAAAATTTTATATATATATAATTATAATATAAATAAAATTATGTAAAAATAATATATTAGATATAAGATAACATCTTTTTGTAACAATTTTTTATTTATTTTTAGCAACAATTGATTTTCAAAATTTTGATCAGTGCCTATTGCTAATCACGAGCTTTCGCCATGCTAAACAGATGTTAAATTTACACAGAGGATGGGAGAGTTGTATAATATTTAATAAATAAAAATTTTAATTCTGGAAATTAATCAAAAATATTTAAAGATTTAACTTTATTTTGAAAAAAGCTTAATATCATCTTCACAAAGATCTTCATTCATTTACTCATCAAATTTTTTTTTATCTTTATCATGTGTGTTGGATAAAAGAATTAGGTCTGCTCTTTCTTTATCAAGATCTTTTCTCAAATTGGAAATAAGTTCTAGCATTCTTCCTTTGTTGACCTTTAATTTTATCTAGGGCCAATCCAATTAAAATAGTGGGTGATTATTGCAGATAGTTTATATTCATCTTGATAGATTCGTTTGAATCAAACAAAATATATTGTAAACAATATAACTTGAAATTAAGCTATTTTTTAAGTTTTAATATTATGATAGTTATCGTGGGAATGAGATATCCCAAATGCATTATTTTAACCATTCAATATTCACCCATGAACGACTTGTCGTTATCTAAAAATCTCTATTCAGATTTATCAGAAGTTTCGTCAAATTTTTGGCAATTCTCCTTAATAAGACTATCTATTGATTTTATGGAGTTTTAAAAAGAGTTCCATCTTTATAACCGGTTTGATCAGATATCTTCCCATGTTTTCCTTAAAAATAGCTTCATAGTTTGAAGATTAACCATGTTTATTCCACATTAGCTTACACTTAGAAAATGTAATTTTTTAAATGGTTTTAAAATGGACATCGTTACCTGCTTTTTCAATGTCAACACGCAATGAGATTTATGGTGTGTTCTGAACAGGAATGATGCTTAGGTAAGTATGCAATACTACCATTAGTATATTTTGATTTTTAAATAGATCAAATAGCAGAGGAACTATTTTATCATCCGATTCCTCTCCTTGTTCATATACTCTAATAAATTTTTTTTAAATAAATATATTATAATTTTTTTACTTGAAAGCTTTTATAATTCTAGCATTGTCGGTAATGCATTTGGTCACTTTATTTTGTATCTTATATGTGGTAAAAATTTCAAAGATTATTACAACTAGATAATCAAATGTGTGTTTTTGGTTTAGCCTTTTACAGGCGGCTCAAACCCTCTCAAGAGTGTCTGGGTGTAGCCAGTGTACCGTCATTCCTAAATAAGAGCTTTGTTAAAAGACAATATTATCAATCTATAAAATATATATTTTATATACCGATGATAAGCTGACCAAGAATCCACAGTTGTACAGACAATTTTGGGATACACAATAAATCCACTGACTTTGCCATGGTGTCATATACTTAGTTAATTTTTAATACGATGGTAGGCTTAGACATTGCTTTTTTAGTTAGCTGCAATTTTTTGATAATATTAATAAATGCAGTACTTTCTACAATTGAAAATGGTTGTAATTCTTCAATTAAAAAATTAAAACTAATTCATCAACAGCTGGATTGTATTATTTTTATCTTTGATATAGATGGATTCTCCATTTCAATGTGTATGAGTTGATCGGCTTTAATTTTTTTTTATTACTATTCAATTGTTCATTAATTACTTTCATTTTTGAGGAATTTTTATTCATAATTTTTTAATTAAAATATTATTAATTCCTGAAAATTCTTATCTTTTACAATAATTGATGATAAATCTTTTAAAAATTTAATTGAATTTTTTATCCCCTCAGTAAGCTTATTGTCAAGGAAAACATTAAAAATTGAAATTATGATTGCCAAAGATAATTTTTCAATTTCTTATCTTTTTAGAATTCAGAATTATCATTTAAAAAGGAATCAGGAAAAATATCTAGGTTCAGTTCTCTAAAACAATATTGCTTTATGGTTTTATTCAATGAAAATATACTATATTAATATAAAAATATAACCATGTCCAAAATATAATTCTTAAAAATTCAATTAATTTAACAACGACTTCATAATACAAAGTATATATATTTATTTAAAAATACATATTTATTTAAACAAAGTTTTTTTAAATTACTAATTTATTATTTAAATTTATTAACAATTTGATGTTAAACCAATAGCAATACTATAACAAGAAATAGAAGATATTGTTTAAACCTAATATAATATTTTGAGCCAATACCAATATTTTGTTAATCTTGGGTATTATGTTGGTCCCCAGCCTATTACTCTAGTATAATTTAATTGCTTATATTTTAATTTCATGATTAAGTTTTTTAAAAATATTATTAAAGATTACTAAATTTTATTACTTTCATATTTATCAAATAAAAAGAATAAACAAATATTCATAAATATATATAATAAAAAATATATTAAAAATGAGTGTAAATTTTAAAAATATCGATGGTCTAAAAAGAGCTTATAGTAAAAATGTACCTAAAAAACATGTATAATTATGTTTAAAAATTTATAATTGTAAGTAATAAAATTTACAAATATTAAAGATTACTTCTTTTGTTAATTTATAATACCCATGATTTAATATTCTATTATTAAAATAATGTTTTAAATAATAATATATTAATTCATCTTTTTACCTTTATATGCTTTTTTAAGTTTGAACTGCTGTATATAGAGGTTTAAATATTTGTGTTGGGACGTAATTTACATTTACAAAGTCTAGTCTTTATACCCTTAATTTTCTTTATTGGTATAAAATATATTTCAAATTGGGGCCATGTTAGTGCTAAATCATCTTCATCTGACGAAGTAAGTACTATGGATATAATATTCTTAAAATAAATTATAAAATAGAATAATAATATTATTATTAACATTTACTTTGAATATTAATTAGATTAACATTAACTGAAAATTTAACAACGAGAATTTAAAATAAAAATGAAGGAATGGGGGTTGATATGAATTAAAAACTCGGCTTAAATTATTTAGATTAAAAAATAAATAAAAGTAATTTTATAATATAATAAAATATGTTTTCTTTTTTTAATATTTTTTAAGAAAAAATGTATAGTAACGAGTAACGTTTTATTTTGCCGTTACTCAAAAAAAGTAGTGCGGTACCGTTACTCGTTACCTCTAGAAGAATAACGAACGGCGTTCCTTATCTTCAAAAAAGGTAACAAGTTAGTAACGACGTTACTTTACAGCACTACTTATAATGCACCATATAATTGAGATCGCCAATTAGATTAGTTGCATATATGGTATATCATAAATTTTATTTAATTTTCATTGTTAATAAATTAATATTTAAAATTATAAATATCAAAATTATTCCAAGTTCTAAAAAATCCTAAGATTTTTATTGTGATCTTGTGTCTTAACCCCCCCCCCCCCACAACCTTCCGTGGTAGAGGCTGCTGATCATGTAAATAATTCCTTATAAATTACTTAATGATAAAAATTAAGTTCAATGACTTTAGATATAGGAATGGGTTTAAATTTCTTATTATAATTAGTTTTTGATTATATTTATATTTAGTCAATAAAATTATTTTTCAACATACATTATAATAGAAATAATGATAAGTGATATTGTAAACAGTGTAACAGCTTCATCAAAAATTAAGAAATTTCAAATGGATAAATCATCAAGCTTATCTCCTTCTTCGTCTCAAAAATCTATTAATGGTGAGGGAACTAACTTGTTAAAGTTAAATAGAATTCGTTTTTGTAATTGTCTAACAATTATCTAGTAAACTTTACATTGTACCTATTAATTCGGATGAACAAAACTCACTGCAAATTAAAAATCAAAGCGTAATATACGAACGTAGGTTTGATATAACTGGAATGTTCCATTGGTGTCCTGAGCGTAAAATTGAAGATTGTTTAATCGTTAGCTATTTCTTTTACATATATATATTATACCATAATATATGCTATCTAGGACCCTCTTCAAGCTACTATGATAATTTGGAGTGGGCATGTTGTGGTATGTATATTCGCACAAAAAGATTCTCCCTTAATAGGCCTAAGGAATTTAGTTATGCCCCTCAGAGCTAGTTGTTATCATTATCACGAGCTTAAACACGTTATCTTGCTGGGTAACGTGGAATATATTAAACGTGAATGGAAAACTATTCATAATCTACCTAAAATATCTATTTACGATGTACATATTTTATTGGAATTTATTTGATTCATATATAATTACCTAAATTATTACATTAGTATTTTTTAAAATCCGAGAGAAAAACCTTGAAAATAAAACCTCTGAAAGCCCCCTTCCCTTTCGAAGTTATTAATAATTGATAATATCACTCTAGCCTTCTTGCCCACATCAAAAACATACACAAAATTATTAAATATTAGGTTATCCCTAGCAATCATATATATACTAATCTCACCCTACATCTGGCCTTAGCCCCTTCCTAATTTCGGTGAAATATATCTAAGTCTACATTATGCCTTTATAACCTTGTTAAGGTAGAAATAAGGAAAAAAAAGATTCTTCTATTTATAATTCTAACTTACAGGAGGTGTCAGGGTCCAGTTTCTGTAAGATTTGAGCAAAAGATTATTAGGTTGATTGCACCAACGGGACCATAAGTGTCTGCTTGTACCAATCGTAAATTATCCTCTATATCATTGATCCTAACTAACGTTTAGTTTTTAGATGCCTAATTTGGTTAAAATATATTTGACCCTAGCTCCCATCCTTCAAATACAAATAAAATATTTGAAATTTACAATTAGAAGCTTCCGATCCAACCATTTTTCCTAATTGACTCACCACAAGGTCTCGATGGTACAATAAGACTGTGATAATTTAATAATAAAAAAAAAATAATTTGTATTTTATATGAAATGTAGTAGTTTTTAAAAGTATTTGTATAGATATCGATTGACAGATCTTTTGAATTTGTAAGGTTATGGTGTTGATACGTTTTAATTAACAACTTATCGTTATACTTGTCACATCATGCTTTTATTTATAGCCCATACCCGGTTTAAATAAGATCAAGCAAATTAAATTATATAACAAATTTTTAAAAAATTTAAGTTGATTAGGTCATTAACTGTCCTGTTTTCCCCTACTGTTTTTCAGGAGGTTTTATTTTCGTTGTTTTCCATACCATGAACAATATAAGAAAATAAAAAAAAAAATTTATTTATTGATGTAATATGTTCATTATGTCAAGGGTTCACCTCTGATAAGATCTGATCTAAGAGCGGTCAGCGTGAATCTCTGTGATATGTGCGTTATACTATCCGCCAAAGTTACCCAAATTGACGACACCGCTTTAGGAGACAAAGAAGCTATTTTAGCTACTTTAAATATAAAGGCAATGAATTTCGAAGAGGGAATACCGAATTCTAATGGTTTACATTTATATCATTTGCATTAACTTTTTAATTGATATCGTTTAAAGCTCTCGAAATCTCAACCGCACCTCGAAATTCGTTACTACCATTGCAAAGGCGTGGTTTTAAAAAAGGAACGTCCATTCCAATGATAACAGAATTAAGTGGGTATACAATATATTTTTTTTATCTATACATATATTTTTATAATATTTTATTATATACAGGGTAGTCCGATTGAAGTGATACCCTTTTCACTTAACCATAACGCCGTCAGTCTTTAGGATTTTTTTACGAAATTTTACAGAGGATAAAACAATAACTCCTTCTTAACAATTCTACAAAATTTTATTTTCTTAATAGGCTTAGAAGATATGTAACTTTATTTAGAAAAAATAATAAAAAAACAAAACACAAATTACAAATTCCAATTTATTAAAGTTTAGATTTAATATAAAAAATAATTAACATTATTGAAAAAAATCATATCAAAGTATTCTCAAAGTAGCCTCCTGTATCTTGTACGCAGGCGTGAAGATCATTTCTCCATTTTCCTGGGCATAATTTATGATTGCCTATCAAAGTTTCCCAATCTTCCAAAAGTCTTGTCTTAAGTTGGTTAACATTATTAATTGTGGTACGGTACACACGTTCCTACAGAATACCCCAAATATCATAATCCAATGGGTTGAAGTGAGGGCTGTTTAGAACTATAACAATAAAAACAAAATCCTGTTCAGTGGCACGGTGAGCCGGAACATTGTCCTGCTTAAATATGAAATACTAGTACTCGCCACACAATTCTTTTATTGTGGGCAATATAGGAGCTCTTATAATAAGATATCTCTGTAATAAGATTCGTTTATCCTAACACCTGGATTGATAAAAATGAGTTGAATACTGCCAAAAATTTGAAACACCTGATTTGAAAAATTTGAATCACACCTGAATAATAGATTAGCACTTACTTCTCTCTTCTTGTGGCAGATAAAACATAAACCTATCATTCTTCAAATTAACGGGTGAAGCCACAGTAAATAGCTTTTCATCGGTAGACCAAATAAAATCAAGTTTGGATTTAATTTACGCAAAAGTTTCTTAGCACGAATCAAACTAGCAAATTTATTCGCAGTTGTAAGATGTTGAGCCTTTTTCTTCCTTAAACATTTTAGCCGCACCTTATGAATAATTTGATGTAAGTTTGTGGTAAATCAATATTTCTGGATATTTAAGAAATCGTCTTATGGGTGTTTGGTCTTCTTGGCTCATTACGTGTATCAAATAGTTTAATACTTGTCCGAGTTCGGGCATTTCGTGGTTTCCCAACACCATAACTTTTGTTTGCTGATCCCGTTGTATCAATTTTGCGAATGAGCCGATTGAGTTCTGAAAGAGACTTATTTCTATTTGGGAATTCCTGAAATCAACATTTGGCACCATAGTGTCATTCTTTTCGCAAAATTTTAATTAAACAACTTAAATCATCTTTAGTAATAACCTTATTTTTTATATCGTTTGGTATTAAAAAAATTGTTTGGTTTTTTTATTTTTAGATAAAGTTGCATATTTTTTAAACCTATTAAATAAATTTATAAAATTTCGAAGAATTGGAATGACTTATTTCATCACTCTGAAAAATTTCTTAAAATATCTTAGAAACTGACTGAGTTATGATTAACTGAAAAAGGGTGTCACTTCAATCGGTCTACCCTGTATATCAATTAAAATTTTATTGTATTATTAGTATTATATAGTTAGATATATACTAAATGAGCTGCACATTAACAAGTTAATTGAATATAATTTTAAAGTAATTTTTGTTTAAAAATGGGAATTAGTGAACGATTCAAATGTTCAATTTTTGGACCAAGATGACGACGATGACCCCGATACAGAGTTATATTTGACTCAGCCATTTGCTTGTGGCACTGCCTTTGCTGTTAGTGTATTAGATTCCATCATGAGCACAGTATTCTAATTTTTTTATGAATGATTTATAGGTAATTTATGATAGTAGATTTTATGGGAATAATAATGAATTTCTTAAATATTTATTTGATGCTAGGGTTTGAGAAAATTTTTAAAAAAATTTTTATATATTGTATTTAAAAAAAAATTGTTGTGCTCCAAACCCTCCACTTATAGCTAGAAAAATAGTTCCAAAAAAGTATAAATGCTATTTATTTTGTCAAAATTTAAAATTTTCATATTTTAAATTTAAAATAGAATTTGTTTAAGGTTTGTATGATTTTTGTTTTTGAATATTCAATTTTTTTTTTGGTTCGAGCCTGTTAGATGATACAAAATAGATTAAGGTAGGCTGGTGTGATGGTAATGGTTAGCAAACTCTTATAAATTTTTAACTCATGGGAATATTCTAGATTTGATCAAAGACGTATAATGTATTTTCTTCTCCTCCGTTTTATGGCGATTTCCAGGTCAACCCAGGTAGGCCAGATTTCCTTGATTTTTCTTTTCCATTTTTGACGGTCCTGAGCATCAATTTGTAAGATTCATGCTTCTCATATCCGCCGCTATCACATTTTTTCACGTCATCTTGGGTCTTCCTCTTCCTCTTGGTCTTGTTCCTCCTACTTCCATCAAGGTGCATCTCTTTACCTAGTCATCTTTTGTCATACGTTCCACATGCGCAAACCATCTTAGTCTATTTCGTCGCATTACCACTGCAATAATTTCTATACCCAATCTTGCTCTCAATTCCTTGCTAGTTTCTCTCTCTCTTAGAGAAACCCCACACATTCATCTAATCATTCTCATCTCTGTTCTTTCTAATTTGGCTTCGTGAGTCGTTTTCATTGCCCATGTTTCTCCGCCATAAACTAAACAACTCCTCACACAACTTACGTAAACTTTCCCCTTTAAGTTCAGAGTAACTTTTTTATTTGTTAGAATAGACGACATCTCTCTAAACTTCTTCCATGCTTGTCTGACCCTTGCAATAACGGCAGAATCTACACCACCATCTGCGTTTAGCATATCACCCAAATAACAAAACTTATCCACTTTTTCTAAGGTTAACCTATTGCCACTATCCAAACCACCATTTTCTACGTTATCATTATTATGTACCCCTTTCATGCACGATCTACAAATAAAAGTCATTCTTGATAACATCAAACTTCCTTTTTCCCGCTACATCTATTATGTACCCATTTATGGCATCTGGTGCATTGGATTGAATTTCTAGCAAATCCTTTCCGACATACATGACAAGGCCACTTACCGGATTCCTCCATCTTTAGATTTTTCCCACCAATCATCACCTTTGTCTTTGCTATTTTCAGGCTCTTTGCTTCCATAGTTATCCTGCATTTACTTATTTTATCCCTCAATTCTTCCTCACTGTTCGCCATTAATACAAGGTCATCTGCAAATAATAGCTCCCAAGGAAGTCCTCCACGTATTTCTCTAGCCACCACATCCATTATTAAGATAGATAATAATGGACTCAGCACGGATCCTTGATGAAGTACTACCTTCACTTCAAAGCTTTCACTATCACCATAATCCGTCCGTACTGCTGTTTGTGCTCCCACATACATTGCCATCACTGCGATAACCAACCATTCCTCCACACCTTTTTCTCAAGACCCATCTAGTAACCTCACGCTGCACCCTGTCAAATGCTTTCTATAAGTCAACAAACGCATAATACAGTTTCTTTTCCTTCGCAAGATACTTCTCCTGTATTTGTCTCACCACAAAAATGGCAAATGTCCCAGATGTAAAACAAAACTGCATTTCATCAATTTTAGTTTGTTCACTTATCCGCTTCTCTAACACCCACTCAAATACCTTCATTGCATGTTCCAAGAGTTTAATAGCTCTGTATGACCCGCAATCTGAAGGATCACCTTTTCCCTTGTATACTGGTTTATACTTCTTCGCCAGTCCTCGGGAATAGTTCCTTCTGTGTTTGATTTGCCAAATTCATTAACCATTCAATCCCTAATTCATCAGAACCTTTAAACATCTCTGATACAACCATCTTAAACCCGATGCCTTCTCTTTTTTCATCTTTTTCACTGCTATCTTTATTTCATCCTTGTCAAATTTAAATCCTGAACCTACCTTTGCACAACTAACATTATTATCGCATTCATTTTCTTCTTTCAAATGTCCTTACATGTAGATCTTTGTTCTTAATACCATTACTATCAATCAGCAATTTTCCTTCCATATTTTTCAAACATTTAACACCTACCGCATCTTGCCTCTTTTTTGCCATCTGCTTTGTCATTCGAACCACATTTCCCATTCCTTCAGCGCATTCCATTAGCAAACTCCTGCCCTTTTTCTTCTTGCGCCTTCGCTATTAATTTCTTAGCCTTTCTTTTCGCCAACTTGTAAATATCGTTATCACTATTATCTTTACTTTTATACCATTCTTTGAAACACCTGCGTTTCTCATCCACAGCTTTCGCTACTCCGGGTTCCACCACCAAGTCTCCTTATGTCTAGGTGACCCTTTTGTCCATCCACATACCTCCTCAGTTGTCATCACCCAGGCTTTCTTCATGGCTTCCCACTTGTCATTTACTCCAGATGCTTGAGCCACCTCCACCTCCTTTATGGCCAATGTCATATTATGGTGTCGTCTTGCACTCTCCTCCTTCAATTTCCACTTCAGTCTTGGCACAAACTTTCTTTTATTTATCCTGGCGCCTACAAAAGTAAGATCTCATATAACTAGTCGATGCTGATTAATGGTATCACTTTCACATTTTTTACTATACATCTATCACATCTTCTTAATAACAAATAATTCACCGCACTTTTTGTACTACCCAACTTATAAGTCACAAGCTTCTCTGATTCTTTCTTAAACATTGTATTACAGACAGGCGCATAATCAATAGGGGGAGAAGGGGAAATTCCCCCTTCCCTTATCGCAAATTAATTTTAAGCTAATAAAAATTTTACCCCCCCCCCCCCCCAATTAAAATTTTACAAATATTTGAATATCAATTTTCCAACATAAAACTTATTTATTTTTTTTTTAAATTTCCTTTCCTTGTGAGTACATTAACATTATTCAAAAATATTAATAAAATGGAAAAATTTTTAGTTAAAGAGATTGAAATCAAACAGTAATTTATTTGATTATATATAATTATTTCATTAAATTCAAATTTATTAGTGAGTTAGAATTAATAAGTATTTTAAATAATAAATATCTATAATTTTTTTAATATTTTTCATTTTTACTTCCATTTTGCAGAACAGTAGAAATAGAAATACAAAAGTTAAATAAGGCTGAGCATGAAAAAAAGTAATGTGTCGTCAGAAGCGATATCATTATTGAATTCAATTTATCAAATAGACTTTATCATTGCTGCTAGTTGCATCAATAAATTATTTTCCTATACTCACTACTTTGTAGAAATTTACAGAAACCAAATTTAGATTTGGTTCAGGTTATTGATTTGGCTGAAAATATATATAAACAGGTAGATACAATAAGAATGAATGTAGATTAATATTTCCATAATATTTATCTAGACGCTGAATCGAAGGCTAAATTTTATGATATAACACTAATTAAACCTCATCTAGCACCTAGGCAATTATGAGATGTAAAATAAATTGGCTCAATTGAAGAATATTTCAAAATATCCATTTTCATCCCATTCCTAGATACTTTTTTATCGCAAATAAAAGTACGGTTTTTAGATAAAAAAACAAGTCTTTAGCAATCTTCAAGTTTTATTACCCAAAGATCCTTCATCGTTTTCTAATGCCACTATTGGTAAAATTAAATATTTAGCAAAATTTTATTCCTTATGATATTGTTCGAATTGTCGTATAAATATTTACTATTTTTAACTATTTTACCTGAGCATGCTATTGATGCGCTCAATCGGTGTAAAGAAACCTTGGCTCAATTTCCTAATATTTTGAAGTTCTTTTATATTCTTGCATGTTTGCCTATTACAACATGTACGAACGAAAGACTTTTTCGAACTTGAGAAGGTTGAAAACATATTTAAGAAGTACTACATCCGAATCTCGGCAAAATGGGTTAGCTTTGTTAAATATACACAGAGATTTGGTTCCAACGACAAACAAAATTCTTAATGAATTGGCAACATTCCCACGAAAATTAAAAATCACATTATAATTATAGTATTTAATAAAAAAAAATTGTATAATATTGTATTTGATAAGAAGTTAAAAAAAACTTGTTTTTTAAATTATTTTCTAGTCAATATTTTATACACACTACTATTAGTATTTTCAATAAAAAATTATATTCTACTTATATTGTATGAGAATTTAAGCTGAGACTAGTTTTTAAATCAAATTTTATAAAAAAAATGACATTAAACTTTATTAAATATATTATACGTAACTTAAAATAATAAAAAATAGGCTTGTAATATCCATAAGCACGAATCAGTAAATAATAGCTAAAAATAGAAATATAATTATTATAAAATTATGAATAATTTAATATAATATAATATCTAAAACATAAGACCCGGCCGAAGGCCGGGGAAAAGCTGGCCGAAGCTCAGGCAAGGGGGGTTTCAGCGCGAAGCATCCCAAAAATTCCCTTCCCCCCCATAAGAAAATCCTGGATACGCCACTGATTACAGATAATCATATCCATAGCATCACTAAAATCTAAAATCCCCTCCCCTTCCAGATTCTTTATGCCATAACTGTACCCTCCATGTACTCCTTCATAACCCTCACTACTCGCTCCTACATGTCCATTCAGATCACCAACCAGGATAATCCCCTCTTCATTCGCCAGTCTCTATGTCATCCCCAATAGACTGTCCTAAAATATATATCTCTTCTTCACTTCTTCCAACCTGAGGAACATATGCCGAGATAATATTATATAGCTTTTTACCAAGAATCATCTTGATAACCATTATCTATTATCTAGCCTTCTCACTTCGACTACTTTGTCTACCAATTTCTCTGCAACCAATACCCCAACTCCAGTCTTACCATCATTACTTCCTTGCAAAAGTATTTATACTTTTCACTAGTCTTGCCAATCATTCTTGCGCCATTTCCTTTCCATCTGGTCTCCTGTATTCAGCACATATCTATACGACTTCTATGCAATACATCAACCACTTCTTCCGCTCTTCCCGTCATACTCCCAACATTCCATGTCGCGACCCTTACTCGATCCCCCTTAAACAGGTTTCTCCACCTATTATCAGGTCGTTTATGTCCGTCATAAGTTTCATTTTCATGAATCGTGATTCCACCAGGTTTCCCATCCTTCTTTTTGTCGTAGCGGATGAGGAGCCCCACGGGGTACTTTGGGCTGTACCCCGGCCATGCTTTGTTGTAACCATAGGGAAATTTTGTAGCAAGGTTTTTACAATCGAATGCCCTTCCTGACATCAACCCCTTTAAGTGGTTTTTACACCCCGTCGAAGAGACGGTGACCCTATTCTAGACACAGATCACAGGGAACCTTTTAGACCTCCATTTATTGCTCATTTATTATTAAGTGCCTTATCCACATTTAACTAATATTAGCCAAAAACAATTTATATTCCCTATTTTTTATAAAAAATATCTATTAGGTTTCATAAGAATAGTCTACCGACTTTTCAAAATTAATATATATATTATGGTGCCATTCTTATCTTTAGAATAGATATGGTGTGGTCCGGAGTTTCAATAAGGCCGTGTTAGTCGTTTCTGATCCTTGTGACCTCGGTGTAAGGCGGGGGGGAGGGGGATAAAATGGAAAATATAAAATCGAAAATGCTTAATTATAAACTACCTAGACCAAAAGATGACTATTTTTAAGAGAGCTTAAGGCAAAATAACGATATGTCACTCAACAAAATATCTAATATACAATTGTATTTATCATGCAAAGACTTATTTCAACGCCAACGCTTTGACATTAATTCGTACATTGATCACAGGCGGTGCTACGCCCGAACTCGAATTAACGTTAGCTGAAGGTGCTGGATTAAGAGGAGGATACAGTACATCTAAGATTCTTAAAAACAGGGATCGCTGTCGAATTGCCCAATTACCCTTATGGGAAGGTCCTTTATCCACATTTGGCGTAAATCTGAAAATTATAATTATTACCTTTGATTATTATATGTTAAATTCTTTGTAACTGTTGTATTATAAAAAAAAACTACTATTTCTAAAACTTTAAAAAAATTATATAATAGGTTACAATTTTAAAAAAATATTAATTATGCTAAGATAAATTATTTTAAAAAACAAAGGATGGGACATTATATAACAATTTGTTTTGCGCTGCAATGCGAAAATATTCCATGCTCTGTTTGGGAATATACAGAATCAAGGATCTGAATTCTGCTAAAAGTTTGACCTCTGCAAAACGCTATGTAATAACCAATCCTGAAGATGATTTTATCCTCTTACAGACGGATTTGGTAAATGATTATAATTTTTATGAACATAATGGAATATTCACAATTTATTTTTTCAAGTTCTTAGATGGTGATATTTCGATTTGAGCATTATTAATTGATAGATTAATTATATTCACTATTCATTTATTATTATTTTTTACAGATATTCGTATTACAACAATATGATCCAGATATGCATGATAGAATTAGACCACAATAATGGTAGATAAAACTCCTATTTCTATAAAGAGCATTATAATGTAATATTTGATCTCCTATAATGGACATACCGGTTTATTTGTGAAAATGCAATTAATTACTTTATATATTGAATAAATTATGTATAATTATGGAATCACGTTGTTTTAATTTAAGTTGTGTAGCGTAGTATTGAATATTAGCTGTATTATTATATAATATATGTTCTGACCTACCTGGGTAAACCTGAAAATCGCCATAAAACGGAGAAGAAGAAGAATTATATAATATATGTTACTCTTAATATATAAATTTAACTAGTTTTCAAAGCTATGTATAAACTAGTTAGAAGTTTAGCGAATTTACAACTAGCTTGAGGTTTAGCTAGCTTACTAATTTAACTAGCTAATTCACAAATAACTAGCCAACACATAAACAAGAGCAAATATACAAATATATTGATTTTTTTCAAACTTAATTTTTTCTCTTATTTTCATGATACTATAAAATTTTTTCCTCAACTTAAAGTATTTTATTACATTTTTTTAAAGAATCTAATTTTTCTACGTTTTCGGTTATTTTTATAGCACTGGTTAGTCTTATATTTTTTAGTTTTGGGGGAGACCCGGATAAAACGATTGGTATTTTGCATTTTAGCATAAAATTGTGAAACATAAACTAAACAGAATAAATTATATATTTATGTGTAGCCAAATCCCTCATCTACAAAATAAAAAAAGTGTATTTCTCTACCTTAATATTTTAAAAGCTGTGAATAATTATATGGAGTGTGCCAAACCATTTTGGGTAAAGTAGTAGAAATAAAATTAAACATAACTATATTGTTTAATTGAACAAAATATTTCAATTTTGACATCTATTCATCACTTTTAAGTATAAACTAATTACAGGATTGCATGTGTTTTATTTGGTGATATAATAAAAACAAAAACTATTAAGTGGTATAATAATAAGTTTGAAGTGTTTAAAAAAACAGAAATATTACATTTATGTATTAGGAAAAAAATTTAACAATTTAACAAAAAAATTTCATAAAACTTTTTAATTACAAAAAAATAATTTTTTAAATTTAAAATGTAAAATATTAATAATATTTTATCCAATAATACCAATAATAGTTTTAGAAATTCTTCTTTATATAATAATAATTCCTTTTCCACATCATTTTCGCAATCTGCTATAAGTGCCAATTTTACACCGGCAATTCAAAACCCAAAAAGAAATATAATTGCTGGAATAAAGAGAAAATTGACATAGTAACCAAATTGCTGTCCCAACCTGAAATGGAAAGAATGAAAATAAAGGACATTGCCAGACATATTGATATGTCAATAGCCTCGGTTAACAAATTAAGTCAAGAAACTTTTCCAGAGTTTATAGGGGGGCCATTGAAGCAATATCAAATTCAAAAAAAGGGATGCAAAAAAAAGACACATCTGAAATCTAAAAAAAGGTTATAAATATTTTAATGGATAACAACACCTCGACTATCAAAGATATCATAGAAAATTTGCCTCCAGGTTTCCCAAAAAATGAGGGGACCATCCGAAAATATATTTAAAAAATAGGCTGGTCTAAAAAAAGGGCTGGAATAGAGCCCGATCGACGAAATACACCAGAAGCAATTCGCATTCGCCAGGCTTATTGCCTTAAAATGCTAAACATTCCCATGGAAAAAATGTTCTTCCTGGATGAAACAGGCATAAACCTACATGTTGTCTGTGTATGCTTGGGCCCCCTACAACGTCACACCAACTGTGATAGTTCCACCTTCCAAAGGCAAGAACGTTAGCATTTTATGTACAATAGGAATTGGTGGCCTTATAACCTATCGAATTATTGAAGGGCCCTTTAATGGGTTGCTTTTCCTTGATTATTTGAGAGAATTAATAACAATTCTTCCAAATGATGCAATTATCATTATGGATAATGCCGCAATACACAAGTGTCATCCAGGCGCGTACGCAGGAATTTGGTCTGGGGGGGGGATAATAAAATTTTTTAAGAAATATTAATGTTAATTAAAAATACTAAGCATAAATTTATTAAGATTAATAACTTTTCTAATACACAATTTTAAACTATTGTGAATTAAAAAAATTATATATATAAACCGGCATTGAAAAACTATAAAATAAATGTGAATTATAAAATATAAAGTGAATAAACCCACGATATGAATCACTTAAATGACCCAAAATTGAAATTTGAAATTTTTGAGCTTTTAAAATATATAAAAAATTTAAATGTTGGAAAAATAAATTAATACACAAAAAGTTTCTTAGGAATAATTGTATTTTGTATTTTTCAATTATCTATCATGAATATTCAAAAGATCCAAATCATACAATCTACTTTCAGATGTTGTATTTCATAGGTATGTTTTTCACAGACTTGCAGGCCCGGCCCCGAGCGGACGTATTTAAATTTTTTTAAATATACCCAGGCCGGGCCTGTAATTTTTTTTTAACCGGGCTGGGCCTGTAATTTTTTTAGAAAAAGTATCCCGGCCTAGCTGTATATTTTAAAACCAAATATTTAAAATCGCCATTATTAGCTATAAAAATCAAAAATAAATATAATTTATTTTCAAAAAAGCCTGGCCCGGGCCTGAAAATTTTTTGAAAAAAAACCCGGGCCGGAAAAATTTTTTAAAAAAATCTGGGCCGTGTCCTGCAAATAGTACCTCTGTAAGGCTCTGTTATTCTTCTTAAAAAAGAGAATGTTCTCTCATTAGTTTATTAAAGAGCTGCTAATATATATAACCATTTTAATACATTGGGAGTATAATCTAAAATGTGTTTGAAATAAAAAGCATCCATAGCATTTTTTGGGACTGTATCAACCATAGTTAATCTTTTAATCATAGTTATTCAGCTAATAAGGCATCATAAGATATTTTAACATCTTCATGATAAAAATCTAACAAATATTTATATTTTTTTTATATTACCATATGAAAAAGGTTGGGAGAGGGGACATTTGTTTTATAATACTCTTCTACTGATCCTATATTAATGTTTTGACGATGAGCTTGCTTGCTGCAAGTAGAGGGGGGCAAATATTAAACGCGTATAGCTCTGCTTTTGACTCAACAATAACATATAAAATGAAATTCTTCAACGAAATTAGCTCTAATTTCCTTGAGTTCTAATAAAATGTTCTCCGCTATTGTCATCTTCTTAATCAAGTCAATGTTATGTTTTTGAAAAGTATTACATAAAATAGTTGTATAATTAAATAATACATTCTTATGAGAAAAAAAATTTGGAATAAGTATTAAATCCAATAATTTTCTTGCTTCTGAGGAAATATTTCTTTCAAGCCATTGTGATATTTTAGTAATAGCATTAATAATCGGCTCTTCTAACTCCATAATAGCTGTTACTGCTTGATGGCGGAGACTCGATCTCTTTGGACAAGCTTGCAATTTCTTTCTCCCTGTTGGACAAGGAGTTTCAGATATAATTATTATTTGACTAGAAATTTGGATAAATATTACGCCACTAAAATTTGAAAATAATAGGTAAATTACGCCAAGGAAAACTTGAAATCGAAATTGATTGATAAAATAACTTAGTAGATGAATGTGATAAATAAATGTTATTAAATATATATATATATGAAATAGGAATAAATATTAACAAATATAAATTAATATTAACAATAATATTTTTGAAAAATATAATCCGGCATCTGCATTTTTTGGCTTTGGGGGGGGGGGGGGGATTTGTCCCCCTGCCCCCCCCGCTGCGTACGCCAATGGTGTCATCTTATTGATAGCTATAAAAATCGAATTAAATATCTTCCGCCATATTCACCCCAATTAATGAAAACTTTTTCGGGGTCATGAAAAACAAATATAGGTCTATACCAAGGCCAAACAATAGAAATCAAATCATAAATAATGTTACTTCGATATTAAATCAGTACATTCCGTACAATTTTACAAACTCTTATAATCATATGCATGATTTTTGGAACTTGGTTTTCTTGGACAATCAATCTATTAAAGGTAATATAAATTTATATAATATTTTTATCTTTTCTCTATTTATATAAAAATAAAGATGCCAATTTGGAACACTCAAAACTAAACGAGAATACAATTTAAAAATATAATATTTTCTTACAAAATTAAATCATTATGTAAATTATTATTATTGTGTTTGTATTTGTAATTATAGATTATTATAATATACACAAAATAAAATATGCTTTGGTTGATAATTTTTATATTTCGTTCTTCTGAGCTCCTTTCTATAGAAAAAAACGAATGGCATTTACAATCTGCAATATAAGTTAATTACTTTAAAAGTGGGGGCTGATTTTTTAAATTCTTAGTATAAGTCTTTATGATCAATATTGAAATTTAAGGTTCATAGAATCTGAAATAAAGATCATTAAATACTACAATACAGTATTACACTTCCAAATCTTCCAAAAAATTAATTTTACAATTACATACGATATTCTAGAAACATTTCATAGGTAAATTCTTATGTTACTTTTTTTAAAAAAATTATTGTAAAAATTTGAAAAAATATTCACTTAAACTATTTTTTTCCTAATACATAAATGTGTTATTTCTGTTTTTTTAAACACCTCAAACTTATTATTATACCACTTAATAGTTTTTGTTTTTATTATATCACCAAATAAAACACATGCAACCCTGTAATAGTAATACAATACCGGAATATACACATTATCTCAAAAGTGAGTGTGCCCATTTTAGGTACATAATACATAACAATTATTTTTCCCCTTTAGGACTATTCTTAATTTAATTCTAAATAACACATATTTTTGCTCAAATAAGTTTTTATATGGTGTAGGGGAGACTGGGCTAGTAAAACCGATTTTTGCAAAAGGTCTATAACTCTTTTTTTTTAGATTAAAGAACAATATATGAATCGATACCTATAACCATACTCTATAAAAGTGCCTTGTAAATATTTTTAAGAATATTATTATATTTTTGAAATTTTATTTTTTCTATAAGTTGAAATTTTGCCCTACAAGCTACAATTGCGGGGTTAAGCAAACAGTGCAAAGGGCTTCCTAAACCATTA